ATAAATATTTTTAAATATATCATACTAATTGTTTTAAAAAATTTTATAAATTAATAAAATTATAAATAAATTAGTAACCTTAATAATTTAAATAGTAAGAATAACCCAAGCCAAAAGAAAGGTACACAAAACTTTGTTAAAAGTGACCATTCACGGAGTGGTGATGGTGGTGCCTATTAGAATGAAACTCGTAATTAACACAATTTTATTCGTGGATAACACTAGCTTTCAAAGAAACCGCAATGATTAATAATCCATGTTTGATTTGTTTTTTTCTTGGGCCTTCAATATGCGTGTTCGGTTACTGATGCATGTTTGGTAATTAGATATGGTAATTTTCTTTGTCGTGGAGGTCCGTTAGGATTCTTGTCGTAAGATTCTTATTGTGAATATAAACATTTTAAAATTATTCTTTTCGTGAATAGTGATGGAAACATCTTTTTCTTATGAAGTTTTAAGAGGAATTTCTTTCATTTCATGAAAATATGTGATCATCTATATATAATACAAAAATATAATTATATATATTTTCGTAAATATATTATTAATTAATTTTTAATCACTCAATTCAGTTAACTAATTCAATTCAACTTAAATTATCCAAGCTCAGCCCAATTTCTTATCCAATCTTCTCAAACCCAATTCAATACAATAAGTAAACTACAAATTACAATTGCCAATTGCAAGTTCGCGGCTAATTGCCAATCGCATGCTGCAGTTTATGCTCTTTAATTTTTCTTTTCTATGAACATGCTGCTGGAGCTGGAGTGCTAGACATGCATGGCAGTATGTATTTGCTTGATGCAACTGGACATTGCTCTGTTTGTTAGACTAGATGTGTAATGTATTTATTTGTTTGAATTGTTTTAAATTTTAAATTTTTTTTTAATTTATTAAAAAAATATTAAATTTTATATATTTGATATTTGACAATAACATATCGTATACCTACGGGGACCCATCATTTCCCATGGTGACCTATCATTCCCTGTAATATAGAGATGAAGGTTATTTTTGACTTTTCATAAAAAATTCTCATGAGAATCCCTATATTCACCATTGACATGAATGAGGATGGGGAGGTGTCCTCACCTCCATAGGATCCATTGCCATTCCTATTGGCAATGTTGGCAATGTGCTGTTATAATGATCATCTTCTCTTTAATATCGAAGAGGGAACAATGGGATCTCAATCTGGACCATTAGAATTAACATATAGATCGAAGGGGGTTAAAATTTCATTTTGGTA